TATGGGGACAGGAGGACATGAGGGAGCTCCTGCTGAATCCTGTGCAGAGGCCAGCCAGGCAGGAAAGTCACCTGTCCAGCCCCTCTGCTTGGCCCTGGTGCTTAGAGGACGCTGTTAAGAGCTACCAACAGGAAAAAACAAACAAACAAGAACAAAGCTGTTAAAATGCCGTCATTTTGCCTCAGAATGGATTTAGAGGGATTTGGGGGGGCTTTCTTTGGTTGATGGTTTTGTTGTTATTGTTTTGGTTTGGGGGCTTTTTTAAGTGCAAGGTGGAGCATTGAGGGGTGGCACTGCTTCTCAGAGGGACTGACACTGCCCTGTCCCCCCAAAGCCCCACTGCTGCTGGGGACAGCTGGCAGCCAGCCTGGTCCAGGGACAAGAAGGGCCAAAAGTGACTCAGGGCTGTGCTTCCCATGGGCACACAGCTGCCAGCAAAGCCTTGAACAAGCCAATTGCTGTGTCCTCATCTCAACCATTTCAGGAAGGGAGAAAAGCCCAGATTGGTCAGATACAGCAAAAGCTACATCCCTGCCTTCCCCCTTCTGCACCACCTGTTCTGATCCCAAACCAGCCAGCACGCATTAGTCTGGACATGGAACAAATGCTGCCTGTGATCCAAGGAGACAAACCCAGCCCTTCTGTCTAGGACAGGGTGGCTCACAGCCAGTGTAATTAACTGATGGCCACAGGCTCCAGGTGCTCAGTGCCCCAAAGAAAAAATAATCTGATTCATTACCTCTATTGCATAAAAAACACTTCAGGAGCTTATACACTTAATTACAGGGAACATGGTGCATTAGGAGCCCAGATCCAACATTCAGGGGAGATGCCATGGACCTAGCAATCCAAAACAGCTTGGGGAAGATAATCCTCAGATCAGGGTTCATTTTGCATTGGCAGCATGTTGGAATGGAAATTACAGTGTGTTAATGCACAATGCATGGCACATGCATCCAGACAGGGCCCAATCTTTCTTCCAGTCTGTACGAATTATCCTCACCTTGGTCTTGAAAGCCAAAATTAGCATTCCTGAAGAAAAGAGAGGACAGCACAGCATTGAGCTGGCTGTCCTGCTGTGAGTTGGCAATACACACCCATCACTATTCCAGCAGCAGCACAGAAAAGTGTCATCTACTAAGTGAACAGTGCCCACCTGGCCACAGCAGCAAGCCCAGAAACAAGAGCAAGGACAATGCACTCTGTCACCAGCACCACTCTCTTGGGGAGGAGGACAACTGCAGGTTCTACCTTTAGGTTCCCCGAGCTGATCTCTTCCTGGGTGTCACATCCAATACAAGACCATCACAGCTGGCTGGCACCACAGTAATAATGTAAATTATTAGTGTTAAACAAGTTTCAACCACTGCAGGTATTGGCATTATTATTACTAATAAATGCACACAGTTTAAATTGGTGGGGCTAGGCTCTTTAACTTGTAGTTTCTTTGAAGTATGAGGGAGAGTTCTTAAAATGTTGCTTACAAAAGAGATATTTCAATTTCTTGCTCTTTTTCATCTTTATTATGCCACGTTGTTGCTGGGAGGCAATGAAGCCATGGTTTTAAGGGAGAGGCTTCTGTCTGAAGAAAGCTGCCAGCAGGGAATGTGCTGTGATGCCAAAGGGTGAACAGCAGTTGTGAACATGGGCTGAGGAACCAGCCCTTCCCTACTCTCCACTCTGTCCAGCAAACAGGATTTGAAATCAACAATGTTAATGAAATATGGAAGTTGTAAAAGAAAACCAGCCTTTTTAGAGCTCTCAGAAGTTAGAAAAACAAAGTTAAGACATGGTTTGGCAGATTAATAGCCTGCTATTTTACCTGTTAATTACTTTATGACTAACTACTTTCTTCATTATGTACCTGGCTCAGGAAATGTACGGCAAGGTTTACCAAACTCTTTCTTCCTCCTTATTCTCTAGGCTAAAGCAACTGTAATCACAAGCATTTTCCAGTCATTCCCTGCCCAGGGTTTCAGTCTCAGTCTGAAGAGCAATCAGTCTCTCAGGGCTTTGCACCTCAGAAAAGCTTACAAAGGATGTGTTATCTGTGCTTTTAAAGACTGGGAAACTTTGGTGTCTGTAGAGAGCAGCCAGGAACAGCAGACAATGAGACCATCTGAGCAGCAATTCTGCAACTCCTGCTTGAAGTTCCCCATCCATTACTACAATAAGTTAAGCTTTGCACATTCGTGGTATCTGTTCTTTCTTGAGGATGGTCCCTTCCCAGCCCTCCTACCCTCACACATCGAAGGGCTCAGGGGCCCAAAACGATCTCAGCTTTGCCAGGATGACAAAGTTCAACTGTGAAGCAGTTGGGAGTAAAGGAGGAATAAGCTGCACCAAGTAGAGGGAACATTCACCTTAGACCTGATAGTCCTAGAGACAAAGATGACTTTGAAAAAATTAACATGCCAGCTCTACTAACTGCAATCACAGATTCCCCAAAGCCTTTCAGGAGCAGCTAACAGACTGCTACACTAAGGGTTAACAGACTACACTAAACACTGCCTTAATGCAAAAACATCACACTGAACTCATTACTCTGTCAAGCAGG